GACTGCGCGCAGGCCGGCGCGCGGGGCTCCGCCCGGGCTGAGGAGCGGCGTTACCTGCACTGGGGTCCGCGGCGCCAGGGAAGGCCCAGCTCTGCAGCCCTGGGAGGCGGCGGCAGCCGGCCGAACACCGGCCTCAACCCTCCCCCCTGGAGACCCCAGGCGCGGTCTCCGCCGGGGCTGAGAGCCGGCTCCGGGTTTCTCCGTTTCTCGAAGCGACTTCCGCTTCCGGGTCATCGTTTGTCGGAGGCAGGTGCGGATGACGTCAAAGTGTCGCGCTCTGCTCTGGGTGATTCCGGAAGAAACCGGAGCGCGGCGCGAAGATGGTGAGAAACGCGTGCCCAAAAGAAAGCCCGGCAGACTGCTTTCGGGGCGAATGGGGAGGGCGCGGCGTTTGCCATATTTCCTCCTCAAAAGTCCCTCCCTTGTTTCTTTTCATTCGGATCTTACCTCTTAAGCTGCCCCGAATGGAGACTGCTGTAGGGAAGAGGGAAAAGGGGTGGACAAAAGAAGGGAATTTAGAAGGTGCGGTGTATTCCCAGTCCTCCTAACTCTGAAATTTGCGTTTCAAGGGGAAACAAAAGAAAGCGAGAAAATACGCGACCATGAAACGGATGCTTAGTCTCAGAGATGAGCGACTGTGAGTTCCCTAAATCAGCGGGTTCTCAGGCTGCCTGCAGATGAAAGTCTCGAGGGGATAAGTACTGAAAAGCTCTTGTTGCTTTGTTGTTGCTTATATTGTTGTGGCTTAGATTTATGTAACAGTAGTTAAATGTGTAACCACTTAGCTGAGCGATTACACTGAAAAAGGCGATGAAAGTTAAACATTTCTTAAATGTTTACTTTTTCTGTCGTTATATGTTTTATATACCATATCCCATTTAATCCTCGTAACATTTCTATGAGGCAGATATGGTTGTCTTTGTGTTCTTATCATTACACAGCCCGGAGGGGAAAACGTTCTCCTTGTCATTTTGAAAGACTGTGAGGTAGAGACCATGTTTGGCGTGTGTCTCTAACGCCTCACACAAAAATATTTCTGAAAGAGAGGAGAGCTCCATTTTATAAATCTAAGAACCCAGATCACTGTAGAAGAAAGTAGAATGATATCTCCACTACAAAGATGATCAAAACAGTTTTTCTGCTCATGTGAAGACTGGGACAAAGTTATTAAATAAGAGCTGGTCGGGTCATCATTGTGTTTAAGAGTCTCAGAACGAGTGAATGGTCATTAGAAGCTTCAGAGTTATTCCTCTGAGCCTTTAACTTTCAAGGGAGTACGAACGACCTGCAAAAGGTTAAGAACTACTACCTTACATAGCCGGTACTAAAAAGGATTATGAGAATAATAACAACAATAATAATAATACAGCTCTCTTTCTCTTCCTGTGCTCATGAACTCTGCTTTCCCTTTAAGGGAGACGCGTCAAGGCTTCACACCTGCTACCCACGTTGCCCGGCGGGGTAAACAGCAGCGATGTTTATGGATTTATTATGTACTTTTAGTACATAATGTATTTAGTATGGATTTATTATGTACTTTTTAAGTTGTTTTGTTTTATGTCTTTTTGAGACAGAGTCTCGCTATGCAGTCCAGGCTGGTCTTGAGCTCACTTTGTAGCCCAGGCTGGCCTCAAATTTGCAAGGATCCTCCTGCCTCAGCCTTCCGAGTGCTGGGATTACAGGCATGTGCCACCATGCCCAACTATGTACTTTTTAAGAGATGATAATTTTTCTTTCAGATTAAAGATTAAATTTTGCATTTGTGTTATGTTTTAGTCCTTTATAAGAATCGTGAGACAGGCATGGTGGTGCATGCTTGTAATGTCCCTTGGGAAGCTGAGGCAAGAGGATCATTGAGAGTTGTAGTGAGACCCTCACTCTCACTCTGTAGTGAGACCCTGTCTCAAAAAAAAAAGTGACCTTTTGCCCATACTGTTAAAGCATCTGAGTCTTCAAAAGATAAATATCAGAGCCGGGCATGGTGATGCACACCTGTAATCCCTGCACTCAGGAGACTGAGGCAGGAGGATCGTTGCGAGTTTGAGGCCAGCCTGGGCTACAAAGTGAGCTCAAGGTCAGCCTGAACTGCCTAGCCAGACCCTGTCTCAAAAAGACAAAAAAGAAAAAAAGATAAATATCAGCCTGTTTACCCACATTTGAAAGTGGATTTTGATCCTTGATATGAAACCTTCTGACAGAGAAACTATAGTATAATCAATGTGTACTCATTAGCAATTTTTGGGGGCTGGGGATTTAGCTCAATGGCACAGCACCTGCCTGGCAAGCACAAGGTCATGAATTCGATTCCCGGTACTGGAAAAAACAAAAAAAAATTTTTTTTTTTTTTTGACTATTGGTTTTACTGATTGTGCTACTTCTAGCCTACTTCCCACTGTGGTTATTTGCTCAGAAAATATATGCCAGTATTAAAGATGTCACAAAGTAGGATTTCCTCTGTAGGTTAAAAACAAAATGAAACTTTTGAATGGAATTATAACTGCTGTGATATTTTCTTTGGATTTGCTTTTTTTCAGCAAAGAAAAGGATAGATCAAAACCTAAAAAGAAAGAAAAGAAAGATCCCAGTGCTCTAAAGGAAAGAGAAGTGTGAGTAATCAAAGTTTTCAAGGTTTCCTTTAAAAATATAAGACTTATTCCAAAACCATAGACTTTGAAGAAATTCAGGCTTTCAGCTGGGTATGGTGATACACGCCTGTAATCTTAGCGATCTGGGAGGCTAAGGAACTCTTCTTCATTGTTGATGGGAGTGTAAGTTGGTACAATCACTATAGAGATCAGTATGGTAAGTCCTCAAAAAATTAAAACTAGAGGTCCCATTGGACCCAGCTATTCCTCTTCTGGGCATCTTCCCTGAAGAGTTAAAAGCAGTATACCACAGTGATACAGGCATACTCATTTATAGCAGCACAATTTATAGTAGCTAAATCTTGGAAACAGCCTATATGCCCAGCAAAAGATGAATAGATAAAATGTAGTGTTTATATACAATAGAGTGCTACCATACCATAAAGAAAGATAACCTTAGTCATTTATAGGTAAGTGGGTATACCTTAAGACCATAATTTTAAGTGGAATAAATAAGACATACAAGTTTACATACCGTATTGTTTCTCTTGTGTGAGAAACCCTGTGGATAGATGGAGTAAAATGGGGGATATATACTGGGAAGTCGAACATGTTCAAATGAAAAGGAAACAAGGGGGGATGGGATTAAAAAAAGAATGGAAGGAAAAAATGGAAACAAAGCTGTAAATGGGGAGGGGAATGGTTAAAAAAGAGAATTAAGATATATTATGTACAGGTACAAATTCCCTGTGATGAATGTGAATGTGATCATTATGTATGGCAAATATGTACTAATAAAATTTTTCTTTTAAACAGTTGCCATCGCTTAACACACCAGCATTCTTTCACTGAAAAAAATAGTTAAGAGTTGTATTTTCAGAATAAAAGCCATTCCTTTTATTTGTTTTGTTTGGTACCAGGAATTGAACTCAGGGTCTCGCACTTGCCAGGCAGGTGCCTTGCCGCTGAGCTATACCCCTGGCCCCAAGCCATTCCTTTTATTTTTTTTTTTCTTTTTTTTTTGGTTTTTCTCCGGTACCGGGAACCGAACTCACGACCTTGCGCTTGCCAGGCAGGCGCTTTTGCCGCTGAGCTAAATCCCCAGCCCCCATTCCTTTTAAATAAGCATCTTTAATTGTAAAAGCCTCAGGACACTTCTGTTATTTTTCTCTTTTTGACCTGGACTGGTGATAGCTAGATCCTCACCTGTGGATTCTGGTCCATAATTAGCATTTAAACATCTTGGGCCATGCTGTAGTACGTAACCCTAACAGTGCACAAACTAATCTATGTCACATGCTGTGCAACCATTGTAGGGTCCTGTGAGGATGGCAAACTAGCCGCAGCATCATTCTAATCGTAGGAGCCGTATTCTACCTCTCTGCACCCATGGTGTTGTGCTTCTGATAGCATTTTTAAAGTTGTGGCAAAGCATGCTACTGGACCTGAGATTAAGATATGCTGTTACTTTTTTCCTTGTCTGCGTTTTTAGGGTTTATCTTCAATGAACAGAAGAAAAGGAGCTTCATATATAGTGAACTGTCCCAAACAGAAACTTCTTTTTTAGGTTTTTTTTTTTTTTTTATGCCAAAGGATCAATGTAAAGTTTACTTTGCATCTTTATTTTCTTCTTCTTTCAGCCCCCAGCATCCTTCCTGCTTATTCTTCCAATATAATACACAGCTGGGCCCACCTTATCATATCCTGGTTGACACCAACTTTATCAACTTTTCCATCAAAGCCAAATTGGACTTAGTGCAGTCGATGATGGACTGTCTGTATGCCAAGTGTGAGTATCATAGGTCCACATTGCTGCAACGTTTGTGTAGGATAATCATATTATCAGTGTATGAAAAAAGGGAGGTGGGTTCTCTTTAAACAAATTCTGGACACTTAGTTTGCAGCAGTCACAATGCTTATCTTTATGAAAGTATGAAATATAATGCATACTTGACTGTGAATAACTACACTTTCACAGTTCACAAAACAGTGCTTTGACCATGATTATGGACATCAATTTTGAACAAAGAAGGAGGATTTTTCTGTTTTAGAATTCTGGACTTTAAAATTTTGGACATTTGAAAATATGTATTTTGGTGTATGTGTTCTTGTGTATTGATGAGGATACATTCTCCATTCCACTCCATTGTGGAAAAGCTAAGACATTTTGCTATTTGTGATCATAGAACCAGAAGTTGGGTTAGGGTCTATTTTTAAGTCTATTCGGTTGTTATTTATTTGTACCACAAAAAATCTGAGGAAGGGTATTTATACCTAGATGTAATTTACCTATTAGTAGACTTCCCTTGTGTATTTGGTTATCGCCTTCAAATGATCTTCACTGCCATGAGCAGGCAAAGAAAACGAGGAATAATTTCCTAACAATAAGATCGGATGTATCTTCTTGTAAGTTTGTATTCATATATTTTCCTGTCATCTGGCTAAAGGTACAAATGAAAAGTAAGCTGACGTTTTGCCGTAAAGAGTAAATTACTGGAATCAGTGGGGAAAGTTCACTCCTCCTGCTTTCACCTTCAGGGGGCGCTACTCGTGTGTCTCGCCTTCAGGGGGCGCTACTCGTGTGTCTCGCCTTCAGAGGGCGCTACTTGTGTGTCTCATTTCATTGTGCTTCACTTTACTGCACATCAGATACTCCGTTTTACACAAATTGAAAGTTTGTGGGAGCCCTGCATAGAACAAGTCTCTGAGCACCATTCTCCCAACAATGTGTGTGCATTTCATGTCTCTTGTCACATTTTGGTAATTCCTACGATATCTCACTTTCTTTTGAGACAGGGTCTTGCTGTGTAGCCCAGGCTGTCCTCAAACTCACAGAGATCCTCCTGCCTCAGCCTCCTGAGTGCTAGGATTACAGGCATGCACCACCATGCCCAGTTCTCCCACTTATTATTATTATTATTATTATTATTATTATATCTATGATGGTAACTTGTGATGAGTGATATTTGATGTTATTATTATAATTGTTTTGGGGAAGCATGAGCTGTCCCCATATAAGATAGTAGAGTTAATAAATATATATGTCCTGATTGTTCTTGATCAGCCGTTCCCTCATCTCTTTCCCTCTCCTCAGGGTGCCTTATTCCCTGAAACAATAGCATTGAAATTAGGTTAGTTAATAACGCTACAGTGGCCTATAGGTATTCAAGTAAAAAGAAGAGTCACACATTTCTCCATTTAAATCAAAACTGAAATGATTAAATTTAGTGAGGAAGGCATGTCAAAAACGATACAGGCTGAATGCTAGTCTTCTTGCACCAAACAGCTCACTTGTGATACAAGGCAATTTTTTTTTTTTAATGGAAATATTTTTGAAGAAAACTAAAAATGCTACTCTGGTGAAACTGAAATTGCCACTGCTGATAGGGAGAAGGTTTTAGTGGTCTGTATACAATATCAGACCAGTTATAACGTTCACACTGCTTTGAGCCAAAGCCTAATCCAGAACAAGATCCTAACTTCGATTCCGTAAAGGTTTGAGAGGTGAGGAAGCAACAGAAGAAAAACGTGAAGCTAGAGGAAGTTGGTTCAGTTTAAGGGAAGAAGCCATCTAAACATACACAAGTGCAAGCACTCATGTAGAAGCTGCAGCAAGGTAGCCAGAAGAGCTCGCTAACATAATGAAAGTGACTATACTGAGGAACAAATTTTCAGTGTGGACCAAACAGCCTCATGTTGGAAGAAGACAAGACATGGCCTAAGACTTCATAGCTAGAGAGGAGCTGTCAGGGCCACGCTTCAAAGGATTGAAGGACAGGTGGGCTCTCTCATGAGGGGCTAATGCAGCTGGTGACGATGCCTGTGCTCATTTATTGTTCCAAAAAGCTCTTTAAAAGGGGCTGGAAACGTCTTATCCTTTATTTTTTTATTTCCGTTTGTCTTTTTGAGACAGGGTTTCACTATGCAGTTCAGGCTGGCTTCAATTCACTTTGTAACCCAGGCTGGCCTTGAAGTTGCAGTGATCCTCCTGCCTCAGCCTCCCAAGTGCTAGTATTACAGCCATGTGCCACCACACCCAGCTATGTCAATTAAAATTTTAAAAACATGTTAGAGGAAATAGCTATAGATGTAGAGGAAATTCCAAGGGAACTGGAAGTGCCATGTGAGGATGTAACCTGATTGTTGTACTCTTATGATAAAACTTTCAACAAATTAGGAGTGACTTGTTATAGATGAGCAAGGAAAGTTTCTTGAAGTAGAGTCTATTCCTGGTGAAGATGCCGTAAACATTGTTTTTGTTTTGGTGGCTAGGAGTTACATGCGCTAAGCATACAGTCTTACAGTAAGCAACATTCCCAGGCCAAAAGGCTTTGTCATTGTTATTTTGTTTTTCCCTTTGGTGTTAGAGATTGAAACCAGGACCTTAAGCATCCACTTAGCCAGTGAGTTACATCCCCGGAGATAAAATTGCTTTTTCGCTTAGGCTGGCCTGGATCACTAGGCTCAAGTGATCCTCCAGCTTTGCTTTTTGAGCAGCTGGAACGGCATGTATACACGCTGCACCCTGCTCAGTATTTTAATTACGGTAGATACATTGTTCTTTTGGATATAATGCTAGGGTACACAATAAACTACAGCATAGTGTAATCGTAACTTCTATGTACAGGGAAACCAAAAACCTTGTGTGACTCACTTTTTAGAATAATTCACTTTATTGCAGTATTCTGGATTCAAACTCACAACATCTCTCAAGTGTGTCTGTATGATGAACAGCCTTAACAGAATGTTACTAATATAAATGTTTATTGATGTATTAAATCGAGCAAGAAGATGAGCATAGGAATACACAAAAGAAGGGTGGGGGGCATAGCTCAGCAGCACAGGTGCTTGCCTGGCAAGCGCAAGGGCCTGAGTTTGATTCCCAGTACCAAAAAAAAAAGGAATACACAAAAGATATAAAATATCAAAAAATTTTAAATGCCTAAAATTATTGTAGGAGTGGCTGCATGCATTTATTACATTAAAAAAATGAAGGTAACCACCGCGTGAGGAAAAAATGGCACTTTCGGAGTAAAATAGTTATTAGTAAAGATCAAAAGTAGTAGAATGGAAGATGGTCAGGTGACAGTTATTTTTTTATATAGGCATTTCTACTTTCTTTTTTTCCTTTTTAAACTATGTGCATGTAATACTTTTGCTTTGTTTTATTTTTTGAGACAGGGTCTCACTGTGTAGTTCAGGCTGCTCTTGAACTTGGTATGTAGCCCATACTGGCCTCAACCTCCTGCCAGTCCTCCTGCCTCAGCTTCCCAAGTACTGGGATTATAGGCATGCGCCACCATGCACAGGTAAGCTATGTACCTATAATACTTAAAAACTAATTTAGGCCGTGTGTGGTGGCGCACGCCTGCAATCCCAGCACTTGCGAGGCTGAGGCAGGAGGATCATTGTGAGTTTGAGACCAGCCTGGGCTACAAAGTGAGCTCAAGGCCAGCCTGAACTGCATAGCGAGACCCTGTCTCAAAAAGACAAAACAATAATAATAATTTAGACACATGAATAGTGCACAATTCAGGGATTATCATGCCGATAACAATGAGTCTGTAGTGGCCCTGTGTGGAGAAAGATACTAAATGTGCTGGGTTCTTTATACTCCTCGTGGCAACACTGACAGTTGTCCGAGCTGCTTTTCTAGGAGTCACACAGTGCCAGATCCAGGAAGTGATGTGTAAGGGTTCACCTTAAGGTTTCTGTGAGCCCACCTTTCCTTTGGATGGCACAAGGCAGCAGTAGTCACCATATTTTTTATCACACCTCATAAAGACACAAAAGAGGACTTCCAGAATTGCTTCCAAAAGGGGCAGGAACAGCTGGGCATGGTGACACACACCTACAGTCCCAGCACTCTGCAGGCTCAAGGAGCGGGGTCACTGTGAGTTCAAGGCCAGGCTGAACTACGTAGTGGTGGGGAGGCAGAAAGGATGGCATGCATGCCTGTCTTCCAAGTGAGGGGGAGGATTTGGAGAGGGTTAGTAGCAATGTGTCTTTTACTGTAATAAGTTATTATGTTTAAACACTCACTATATTTCAGTCACCCCTTGTATAAACAGTGACTTCCCTGGTTCTTAATATTCATTTAAGTGTGCTTATGCTACAGTCTTTCAGACATCTGAGTCTGTTAAAGACCAAACAGGATGTAATTCAGAGTATTTCTTTATTTTTTTACTAAATTTTTTGTATTTTTTTTTCCTGGCAGGTATCCCTTGTATAACTGATTGTGTAATGGCTGAAATTGAGAAACTGGGACAGAAGTACCGCGTGGCTCTAAGGTAGGAAGGAGCTAACCTAGGTTTCTTCTGGATTGGTACACTGAAAAGTCTTTTGTCCTTTCTTCCTTTCTTTGCTGTCTGTGGCCCATTATTTTAATAAAAATTAAACAAAACTATGATTTAAAAAGTAAGTATTTAAAGTTTAAGAAATTTTTCCAGGCATACTGGCACACACCTGTAATCCCAGGACTCAGGAGGCTGAGGTAGGAGGATTGTTGTGAGTCGAGACCAGCCAGAGCTACAAAGTGAGCTCAAGATCAATGTGAATTGTATAACAAGACCCTGTCTCAAAAAGACAAAAAAAATTTAAAAATTTTTAAAAATAAAGTTTAAGAAATTTTAAGCTGAAGCTCTTTGAATAAGTTACTGAGCCATATTGGTCTTGTGGAACTCCTTTTAAGTGCCTCTAGATTTTCTAGTTAGAAACTATTAGTTTGTTATCTAGCCCTCTCCTTCAGAATTTCAATTTTAAAAATCCACATTTAAAATTGTGAATTTATGAAGCCAGTTGTGGTGCTACACAGCTGTAATCCCAGCACTTGGGAGGCTGAGGCAGGAAGATTACTGCAAGTTTGAGGCCAGTCTGTACTACATAGTGAGTCCAAGACCAACCTGAGCTACATAGTGAGAACCTGTCTTTAAAAAAAAAATAGAGTAGATATACTCGAAGTCTGTGCAGACCACCCTGAACCCTAAAGACCTTTGCAGGGAACTCACAGAACTTCTCATAGTAATGTGAGGCCTAGCCTTTGTCACGGTGCTGACTTCTCACGGTGTCTGCACTGATCACGGAGCAGCTGATGCCTTAGTGGGAACCAAACCCACAGCCTATACAAGGCTGGTCGTCACCGTGCTCATCCCTGCTGCCCCCGGCAGTTGCTTCATTTTTAACCCTGAGGCACTTAATACCCCTGTTGGCTGCGCCTGGTGGTGCACACTTGTAATCCCACTCCTTGCCTGCAGTCTTGGCACTCAAGGAGGAGAGAGAGTCCAAGGCTTGCCTGGACTACATAACAAGACCCCCCCCAAAAAAAGGAATATCCTTCATGAAGCAGTAAATTTTGACTTTATTAAATCTTAACCAGCCAGGCGTGGTGGTGCACGCCAGTAATCCCAGCACTTGGGAGGCTGAGGCAGGAGGATCACTGTGAGTTCGAGGCCAGCCTGGACTATAAAATAAGCTCAAGGCCAGCCTGAACAGCATAGTGAAACCCTGTCTCACAAAGACAAAAAAAAAGTCTTAACCCTGAAGTGCACATCGGTATTGTATGTGATGAATGTGAAGTATACACAAAGCATATACATAAAGCACTTTTGCTGCATAGCAAAAGACAGAGGTTGTCTCAATGAAAGTCATTTGTGTGTATGTTTATTTGTTTGTCTTTTTGAGACAAGATTTCACTATGTGGTTCAGGCTAGCCTTGAACTCACTCAGTAGCCCAGTCTAGCCTCAAACTCAAGGCGATCCCTCTGCCTCAGCCTCCCGAGTGCTGGGATTATAGCCGTGCGCCACCGCACCCAGCTTATGTGTATGTTTGAGCTAGTTCTTTTTGTGTGTGTGTATTTTACTTGGGATTTACCACATGGCCTTTACATCCCCTGGCCTTTTATTTTTGTTTTTGTTTTTTTTTTTTTGTGACAGGGACTCACTACGTA